TATTGTAATATTATTAATATTTTATATAATAATTATTATACTTCAAAAAAAATATAAATATAATATTATTGTATTTATTCAGCGATTTAAAAAAATTTTCAAAGATTTAATTTAAATGTTAAAATTTATAATATTTATTTATAATATTTACTTAATATAAAAATAAATAAAAGATATATACATAATTTATTTAATTAATATTACATCAGTGAAAAATGAATGATTTTGTTATGAATATTTCGTATTATTTATTCATATACTTATTTCATTGATTACACAATATCTTTTAATGCTTTTGATCTGCTTAATAAATATTTTGATATTTATTTAAATCAATATGTTTCCATCAATTTTTTAACTAATTTTTATTATATTTAATTGCATAATATAATTTAAAATGAAACAATATATTTAATATTTATACAATATTTATAATTACAATACTGATTTTCTATTTAACAAAATATGCTTCTTTATATATGTACGATTTTTATAATCACCATTGCAAGAGAAGGGAGAGTGAGGAATAAAAGAGACGTAGTAGAGACAAATTACTTCATTCGCTTTATTAATGTGACTTCTTGATAAAACATAATACAGAAAATATCTTACTTGATAACCTAATGGTATCATTCATTGTTATTCAAACAGTTCTACATGAATTTTTGAGTTAAAAATTTCAACTCAAGAAAGGTAAATTTATTTCTTTTATAATTATTTTGCATAACTTTTAATTTATTTCTATTTATTTATTTATTTATAAAATTCTATATTATATTCTATTTATTTATTTATCAAATTCAAAATTATTATTTATTTTATATCATAATTTATTATTTTATTTTTTTATTTATTTATTTAATAATAATAAATATTTAATTAATGATTAAAGTATGCATTTCATATTTTTTATACATTAAATTAAATTAAATATAATATGTGATATATTCCTAATATATTCCTATAATTTTCGAAAATTATATTTTATGTAAAATTTATTTTTGCTAAAAATATTGTTTCTTTTTTTTTTAACATAAATAAAACAATTATTCAAATATAATGCTAAGAACAAATAAAATGAAATGTAAAATTTATAACTTAAAAGATATTAAGAAGAAAACAATTTTCAATTTGTTTTTTATTTAGATACAATTATATAAATTTTTTATAGAATTTTTATGTTATTAGTTAAAATTAAAGTCTTTTTTTTATTATTATTTATTAGACTTCTTGGGAAATATAGGTCATTCTTATCGTTATTCACTTAAGCAATAGATATTGCAAAAGAATTATATATGTTAGATATTCCTCTGCAATATTATAAATACTATTATATATGTAAGTATCTGAAAATAATTTTGTCATTTTTATAAATGAAATATATATTTGTAATTTGTAATAAAGATATTTAGAAATTAGTATATAATAGTAGTAGTATGTAATAGTATAATATATACTACATATATTATAATAGTATATAATAATTTTGTGCAGAAAAAATATATATACTATTAAAAAATAAGTTTTTAAAAGCATTTTATATTTTTATTGTTGATAATAAAAAATCAAAATTTTGTTTATCAAATAAGTTGTAATAATGTTATATAATCATTAAGAAAAAATTATTGTTTTATACTAAATGAAAATATAAATTTATACAATTATATAAAAATATAAATTAAGAATTTAATTTGTAAATTAAAATATTATATTATATATATATATTGAAAGAAAAAAAATTTGATAAAATATTTTTTCTTCATTATCAAGCATAATTATAAATATACAAAAATATACAAAAATATTGTAATAATAAGTAAATAATTTAAAAAATCTTTTTTATAGGGATTGTTGAGATTTATAATAACCAATAAAAATGGTTCATGATGGAATTATTAATCAATCTAAACCTGTCATATTGAATAATGAAGAGAAACTTGACAGGATATCACATACTTTAGTATTTTATGTTAATGGCAAGGAGGTATGCAATTATATTATATTTATTGTATTAATATTGTTAATATATATTATATATT